CACAGCCACCTCCACATCACTACAGCGCACTTGCCTACCTGCGCACATTGACCGCAGCCCAGCGCTCTTCCAGCGCCCTTGCATCTTCCCCCAGTGCCCCTTGGTGCACTTCATTTGGTGCTTCTCAACGCACTTGACACTTTGGAAGCTCATATCTCCATGAGTTTGCGACCCCAGCCCAAACCCTTCACACATGCTAAATGACTCCTTTGACCCTCTCCAATGCCCTGCTAGGGTCACATAAACTCCCAAATTTCAGAGGCGCCACCAGCCAAAATCACCCCGCACTTGCGCTTTGCGCCTCCTCACGCAAAAACGGCTATCGCAAATCCAAAACTTTTCTGCCACAAGACACTCCTCAATGTGCTCTACAAACTGGCTATCAAACATCTCCAACCCTAATTCCAGACACCCTTGTAACCCTAACCCTAAGATCCTGGCAAGGTCTCCAGTCAAGAAGACCGATTGGCTACGTCTTGGATCTTGGTTGAAGGATCACTTGGGTGACGAAGTCGATGACAAGCGGGTGGATGCGCTGGAACTTTTAGATAGACCCCGTGACCGTCGTTCGGAACAAAAGAGTCAAGTCATCCCTCTTCGCCTCGCGGCCACGACGCAAAACATGAGGAGACGAAATTTCGACGCTATCAGCGCCATGACGGCGGAGGATCATCCCTCGAGCACCATCCTCGACTCAAAAGCGCTCTCGTCTCGTGTCCCATGTCAGAACCGCGCTCGCACGCCTCTGACGAATGTGACCCCGCCCCGAGGGCGAGGGCGACCGGATCTTGGCGCCATTCGCGCGAATGAGGCGACCACACCTTTCCTTTGATCCTTGTCGCAAGTACTGCCTCTATTCGCTCGGTCCGCTAGCCTGAGTCGAGAGCCCGTCTCCCCGGCCTAGATGCCTCGATCCATACGTCAGTGTAGCGTGCGTCTCAAACCTCAAGATTCTGCTCTGGCGTAGTAGTCAAGGCGCACTCGACGTTGCGGATGCAGAGCTCAACGCGCACGATTGCTGTTGCGCTAGGCAATCAACATGCACGCACGCAGTGCATCCAAAGCAGTCACAGTCTCGAGTCAAAAGTCAAAGAGTCAAAAACATGTTTCAGTCAGAAGAGTCGTGAGATGTTGACTTGTGAGCGCAAATCACCGAGAATCGCAACGTATCACGTGCTGCCAGATCTCTTTGCGCATCGCGTACGTGCGTGCGTGAGGCAGTGCCGCGCAAAGCGAGCGCGCACACACGATCCGCGCGAGCACGCATGCAGGCAGGACTTTCTCCCCCATCACTCACCATCACCATCCGACACGACGCGCGCGCCCGCCCGCCCGCGCGCACCGGCGCCATGCAGACGTATCCCAAAGCCATCGATGAATGGCGGGGCAGACACATCGTCGTGAGCTCTGCCAGCGAACAGTCACTGTGTCACGTCCCGCTGGAGTGGTTGTTGCAATGCGGAGCGCTAGACTGCTGCGAGCTATTGCGATGGATGGTGGGCGTGTGCGTGGTGGAGGATGGCACGCTGAGTCGTGCGGATGGGGCAAGGTTGGATGAGGCATCTTTGCTGGCATGTGCGGATCAAGTCGTTCGACTCCTGTACACTCGCGCAGGTGAGTTGTGCAACAACGTGGGAGCGGGTGTGGGGTGCGCCCGGAGCTGCGTGGCAGAGCGATGAGCGGGTGCAGCCCTGCCCTGCCCCCCACTCCAAAGCTAAAGTGCGCACGCACCAACTGCTCTTCCACGACGCAACCCCTGCACAGATGGCCAAGCGCAACCCTTCACCTACACAAAGGGGCCCCGCTTCAAGTACGCTCGCCGAGCACCCGCTGCTGATGCGGAGCAGAGCACAATGAGCCACTCGAGTCGCTCCAGCACGAATCAGGTAAGCGCGCGCGCACGCAGCACCTGACCATGTCTCGCTTGCCCCGTGCTCACTCGCCATCCCCACAGTCTGCATTCCGATTCCGTGTAGCGGTGCGAGACTTTTCGTGTCTGCTGACGGGCGACCCAGCAGAAGAGTGCGTTGCGGCCCACATCATCCCTCAAAGTCGACCAGAGGTGTGTTGCGGATGATCGTACAAATCGCGCTTGCCCAGAACTCTGACCCACCCCACTCCCTCGGCTCGCAGTACTACACTGAAATCGTGGGCAGGGAGGTCACGTATCCCTTCTTGACGGAGCACGGCATCACGCTCAATCATGCCATGCATCGTGCGTACGACAATGGCGATTTTGCGCTGTGGCCGAGAGTGAGTGCAGTGCGCACGATTGCATGCTCGCACGATTCGTACGCACGCGCTCATCGCACGCACGCGCTCATCGCACGCACGCACGCACGCACGCAGGGAGAAGACCTCATCGTGCACTACTTTATGCCAAAGATGCTCAAACGTCGAGCTCATCACGGACAAGTCATTCATCGGTCTCACTTTCGCGTGCAGGACGAGTCGGAGCTGCCCAATAAGCAGCTCCTCATGTTTCACTACCAGCAATGCGTCATCAAGTACCTGCGCGGCTTTGCTGCTGGATTCGAGAGCGGTGGTGGGGAAGCACAAGTGGGAGGGGCAAGCGGAGGCGAGGGAAGCGAAAGACTAGAGGAATAGAAGCGAGGGCGCGGGAAGGGAGAACGAAGAGAGGAGGAGGAACAAGAGCCACAAGAAGCGCAATCGCGCGCAGGAAGAGAGGAGGAGGAACAAGAGGCACAAGAAGTGCAATCGCTCGCACGAAGAGAGGAGGAGGAACAAGAGCCACAAGGAGTGCAATCGCGCGCACCACCACCACCATCGCAGCAGCAGCGCAATCGGCCGCGCCGTCGCGCGCGCATCAGATCCCTCCATTGTATTCTTGCGTCACCCAACACAAATGTCATCCTTTACACTCTGCGGTTTGCGATGCGCATGTGCGGGGCGTACGGGGCGTGCATCGTGCCGCTAGCCAATGCCCGTGTGAGTGTTGCGCCCATATAAATCTCCTGCTCCTGATGACGTAGCCTCACACGCCGCGCGTGTGCCCACGCATCGCATCATCTCCCTCCTCCTCTTCCTCCCCCCCTTCCACCAGCACCACACCCATCGCCCGTGCCTCCTTTTTGAATCTTTCCACTTCCTTTCCAAAAGCAGCACCGCACGTGACGCAGCTCTTTCTTGGGGAACAAAAGATGGACAAGCATCGACTGCAGACGTAGCCCACTTCGACGATGCGGCGATGACAAAAGCAGCTGGCGCGAAAGTCGATGGTGGAAGAGTTCGGAATGACGAGGTGAGGACGGATGGAGCTTGCTGGGAGGAATGCCGAGAGGAGCGTCTGGAGGAGATGCGCTGGATGGTGCAGGGCAATGTAGTTGCCGCGAGTGAGGTAGGTGGACTGCTGAAGAAAGGCAGACGAAGCGGGTGCTGCTGCTGCTGCTGCTGCGCCATCACTCTCTCCTTCTTCTTCTTCTTCTCGAGATGCCTCGCCGGCGCCGCCTAGGCGACAAACGTCGATGACTACGCCACGCTTCTGAGCTCCAAAGATGCAGTTCATCATGGGCACGTATTGTCCAGATTGATCTTCCGATGCCGATATGATGAGGATGCGCTTGCCCTGCTGCTGCGAGTGGGAAGGAGTGCGACCTGCTTCGGGGTTGATGCCTGCTGCCGCGCTTGCCGCCGTCGGATCCAGCCGATTGAGATCTGTGCGCGTGCGCGGGTCAGCGCGGGGCCCGTACGTACCTGCAAGTCGTGAGTGCCCTTGCGCGCGCCGCTCACTCACAACATAGAGCACGAGCGACGGCAGTGACGATGGCCACATCCTCCCTTGCTTGCTCGATGGTGAGGTCACGCAGAAAGGAAGCTACGCCTGCGCGCACGCTCTCTTCCAGTTGAGCGAAGCGCGAGTATGTGTTGGCATCTGAAGTGACTGCCGTCGTTGTTGTTGTTGTTGCCGCTGCCTCCAGCGTCGAGTAGATGAGGCGCCTTTGGAAGCGCGTGCGTGAGCGTGAGCGTGTGCGTGTGCGTGAGCGTGTGCGTAAAGACGCGGGTGAGTGAGACAAGCAGTGCACCACGCCCGCGCCGCCCGCCGCCCGCCGCCCGCCGCCCGCCGCCCGCCGCTTGCCGCTTGCCGCTCCACCACTCACGCATCGCCATTGCCCGCAGCGTAGATCACCACTCCATTGCCGTGCTGCAAACCCACGTGAGCATTCAAAAAGATGATGATCTCATCCAGCGCTCTCGCCATGAGCCGCAACCCCTCGCCGCCGCCGCTCAACCTGGTCCACGACAGCGGCGATACATCGACGACGAGGGCGAGAAAGTCGGTGGTTGTTGAAGCGGAGGCGGACACAGCACCAGCATTGGCTGAAGCTGACGATGACGACGACGACGACGACACGCCGCTTGTGGCTACATCCTTGATGTGCGACATGTCGTCGGGTGGTGGTGGTGGGGGGGGGGAGAGAGAGCAAAGAGGGGGCGTGGCGTGGAGGTGCTGATGGAGTGCATCACCGCACACGCACACGCACACGCACACGCACCCGCACATGCACGCCTGGCGTATAGCGCACACTCTCTCGCGCGAGAAAAAGTGTGCGCTGCGCGGGGCGCGCTAGACTCGTGACTCGGGCGCGAGCATCGATTCGATCACGACTCGCGACTGCAGCGCAGCGGCATCTTCCTGACTCGTGACTGCGACAAAGAGAGAAGGTTGACTCAAGACTCACGACTGACTGGCTCGATGCATCACCAAGCACTCGCGACTCGTGCGCACTACACTCGCACACACACACGCACGCACACACACCCACCCACACACCCACACCCACCCACACACACCCACACACACCCACACACACACCCACACACACACGCCAGCGCCCCGCAAGGATGCCGACAGTCACGCTGGACAAGGCAGACTTCTTTGCGGCACTGGGCAAAGAGTACACGACAAAGGCATTCGACGAGCTGTGCTTTCAATTCGGCATCGAGTTGGATGAAGATACAACGCAAGAGGTTGCGGGGACAAACGAGAGGCCGCAGTTGAAGATCGACATTCCAGCCAATCGGTATGATTTGCTGTGTCTAGAGGGCATCTCGCGCGCATTGCGAGTGTTCTTGGGCGAGCAGGAGCAGCCTTTGCTGAGAGCCATTGCACCCGCCAATGTCATCCAGCTGCACGTCAAGGATAGCGTGAGTGGGAGTGGCGGCGTGGTCATCTCATCTGCCGCGCAGGCACGCCCGCACGCCCGCACGCCCGCATACACGCTCACCACACACACTCCACCCCCCGCTCCCCGCTCCCCTCCCCCAGGTCAAGGCCATCCGACCCTTTGTGTCCGGTGCGGTGCTGCGAGGCGTGCGCTTCACTCCTCAAAACTATGCCAGCTTCATCGACTTGCAGGACAAGCTGCATCAGAATCTGGGCAGACGCAGGACGCTGCTGTCCATGGGCACGCACGATCTGGACACCATCTCTGGCCCCTTCACCTACGAAGGCTTGCCACCCAGCGACATTTCCTTTGCGCCGCTCAACAGACCGGGTCAAGTGATGGATGGGCCGTTGCTGATGAAGACGCTCGAGGCGGATCGTCACCTCAAGCCCTACCTCTCCATCATCGCGGACAAGCCGCGCTACCCGGTCATCCTCGACAGCAATCGTACCGTCTGCTCCCTTCCCCCCATCATCAACTCTGAGCACTCCAAAATCACCCTCAACACTCGCAACGTCTTTATCGACATGACAGCCACTGATCAGACAAAGATGGCCTTTGCTCTCAACATTCTCGTCGCCATGTTTGCAGAGTACACCGAGGAGCCTTTCGTGTGAGTTGGGCGCGAGTTGGGCGAGGCGAGGGGGAATGGATGCGCAGGCGGGCGGGCGGACGCTGGGTGCTGACTCGATTCGCTCGCGCGCGCACGCACACACGCCCCCCCCCCCCCCCCAGCATCGAACCCATCGCAGTCATCTCGGCAGACGGATCGCGCACATTGACGCCCGACTTGTCATCGCGATCGACGACTGTTCGCGCGTCCTACATCAACAGCTGCACCGGTCTAGCGCTCTCTTCCGACGAGATCGTGGCGCTGCTTGCACGCATGGGACACTCTGCGCGCGTCTCCAACGATGCCAATGTAGTAGAGGTGGCAGTGCCATGCACCAGGCCGGACATTATGCACGAGTGCGACTTGATGGAGGACGTGGCCGTGGCGTATGGCTTTGACAACCTGCCACGACGCTTTCCCAAGACCAACACCGTCGCGCAGCCGCTGCCCATCAACAAGCTCAGCGATCTGGTCAGACGGGAATGCGCATATGCAGGGTGGATCGAAGTGCTTCCTTTGATCTTGGTGAGCAAAAAGTCGACTGACTTCGCGAAAGAAAGCCAGGCAGCCACCCCCCAAACTGACTCGCCGCGTTCCCGCACCGGTATAGTGCTCCCACGACGAAAACTTTGCCAATCTGCGACGCAGCGATGATGGAAGCACGGCGGTAGTCTTGGAAAATCCAAAGACTGCCGAGTACCAAGTCATTCGCACTTCGCTCTTGCCAGGCATTCTCAAGACGCTGCGAGAGAATCGAGCGCACGCTCTTCCTCTGCGCGTCTTTGAAGTGTCGGACATTGCGGTCAAGGATGCGCATGACCGCGATCCTCAACGCGGCGCGATCAACAAGCGGCACGTCTCTGCGGTATACGAGGATAAAAAAGCTGCTTTTGAGGTGGTGCATGGACTGTTGGATCTGGTCATGCGCAAGCTGCAAGTATCGCGAGGTCGAGCGCGAGGCAACTACTACATCGAGGAAGCCGACGGTAAGTGCGAGCGCGTGCGCGTGGTGCGGGCCCCTTGCTGAACTGCGTCACGCCCCCTCCACCCACCCAAACAGATTCCACCTTTTTGCCTGGAAGAGGAGCGGCAATCTTTTACATTCCCAGCAAAGATTCGCGCGATCAGGACCCTGCTGCGGTGGAGCTACCTTCGACAGCACCACCAGCGTCCGAAGCGAACCCCTCCATCCCGCTTCCTCAACAGGGCAAAGAAGCACCACCTCCTTCTGCGCTTGCAAAAGCCGCACAAGCCGTTTCGTCTGCCGTCACTCCGATCAAGGCGAAGGCGATTCGGATCGGTTCCCTCGGGGTGGTGCATCCGCTCGTCCTCAAAGCCTTTGGTGTGGATTACCCTTGCTCAGCCATCGAGTTCGAGCTCGAGCACTTTTTGTAGGTGCGTGCGTGCGCGTGCGCGCAACGACTTGGCACTTGTGGACGCGCGCAATAACATGTCACGTCACTTGTAGACGGGCGCAATGTCATCGCATCGATGCGAGCGGAACAATACAGGCTGGGGATATCGTGTGCATCTACGCCCCACGAATGCGCTTGCCAGGCAGCGCATCCACATCCTTGTAGTCTCGCGCCGTCCAATCCCACGTGTGCACCAAGACGCCCTCCTTTGGTCTCTCTTCGTTTGCCGAGTTGAGGACGTGAGATGATGCGGTGATGGCTTGCTGAGCAGCGAGCGGGTTGGTAGCGATCAGTGCGCCAGCTCGATGCGTATCCAGCACCGCTTCCTCTTCCTCCTCCTCCTCCATCGCACCCTCATCTTGACTCGCGAGCGCAGCGGCGCAAGCAGCCTCGCGCGCCGAATCTGCCAAGAGCGACCTGATCGCTGCAGAGAGCGCATTCTCCACATCGACGAGGGGCTTGAAATGTTCGCGCGATGCTGGAGCGCCGTGAAAGACTCGCTCGACGCCCGCCGCGTCGTATACAGGCAGCGGATCCTTGGTCCGCTGAACACGACGAGACAGCGCGGTGCCTACGGCTGCACGCATGGCCGTGTTGGTGGTGGACGAAGAAGAGGCGATTGGGTGAGTGGACCGGCCATCCGGCTTGAGAGGGGCAAATGCGCCGCTAGATGTGACGAGATGGGATGGAGCTGGTGCGAATGGGGAGCACGTAGGGCGAGCAGATGCGCCTTCGTATAGCGAATCCGACGGTTCGAAACGTCGACGATTGGCTAGCGAGAGCGCCAATGATCGTCGTGTTGCGAGCGAAGAGGCGTGGGCTGATGAGCTTGGCGTTAGCGTGGCTAAAGGTGCGCTGGAAGACTCTTTCAGCAAGGTGCGATAGTCGTTGGCGAATGCTCGCATGGACGATGGGGCAGGAGCATCGTGCGCATCCTGCGCATAAGCGTGGTCGTGGTGTTGCGTTGGCAGATCGTCCACTCGCGACGCTTCCCACGCTATCCTGCCCGTCTGCGGTCTTTGCACTTCCGTCGGCGTTCCTTGTCGTCGCTCCACCCTCTGCTCGTCGTCGCGCTGCACGATCAGCCGACCAGCATGCTCGACATCGTGCAGCACAACGTGCTCATCAGGCAACCAATCCGGTGTGATTGCGCGTCGTTTTCGTGGCACAGAGTCGGACGACTCTGCCTCGCCCTCGCCCTCCTCCTCCTCCTCCTCCTCCTCCTCCTCGTGCTCCTCCATCACTCTCATCAGCTCGAGATCCGGAACAATCTCCCGCGGCACCGCCGCGTAATGCACCTCTTGACCACGCACGTCTGTGGCGAGTGCGAGGTGTGAGCTGATGGATGCATGGGGGGGAAATCGATGGCCCCCTCTTCTCTCCGCCTGCCCGCCGCGCGGGCCCCCACTGCCACTCACCCTGTATGCTAGACGCACCACTCGGCGCCCTGGCTCCGCCCTGCTGCTGCAACCACTGCACCACCTCCCCCACATCCGCAACCTCTTGCAATGCGCAAACGACATCCCAAGCGTTCGGCCTCCTTCTCCCCGCATGCTCTCCACGCTCCGCGCATCTCCTGCCGAGCAGCTCCACGTATCGAAGGCACACTTCGGTCAAGAGGTGCACGGAGCGCGTCGATACGCGCTCAAAGCGCGTCGCTAGGATACGAGCGACGCTCAGTTGAAGTTGAGAAGCGTGACGATGCGCCGTCATGGTGGGTGCTCAGTCAGCGCAGCGCAACGTCGTGGTGGTGGTGGTGGTGGTGGTGGTGGTGGTGGTGGTGGTGGTGAAGTTGAAGGGACGGGGAATACCAGGCGCATGTGCATGCGTCGCGAGTGTGACGCGTAAGTCGCGGCGCATCTCGCGCTCCTCCACTCTGCGCGCGCGCGCGCGCACACTCTCACTCACACACACACACACTTACGCACACACACACACACACACACACATCACACACACACACGCACGCACGCACTCTCTCTCTCTCCGCGTGGGTATACATCCATGGCATCTGGTCGACACGCGCGCCCACGCTCCACGCTACACTGCCAACGCTCTCAGATTCCTGCCCGACACGACGGCCATCCAGTAATCTTCCGCCGCCGCCGCCGGCGTCGCCACAACAGCCTTGCTGCTGCGCTTCTCAAACGGCCTGAGCCACGCGCAGTTGTTCACGCACGCATCCACCGAGTGCGCCAATACCGGATTCTCCACCATACCTCCAATCTGCGCTGCTGCTGCTGCTGCTGCTTGTTCGCCGCTGCTGGGAGCAGGAGAAGCAGAGTAGGACGTGCTTGGCGTGTGCGCCGGTGAAGGTTGTTCGCTGCTGCTGCTCGTCGCGCCTCCTGCTCCTCCTCGACCGTTGCGTGACCGTCTACCTTGGGCCGATGCGCTGCGAAGAGTGCTAGATGCCAAATCGTACACCAACACTTGCCCATCATCGCTCGTCGTGCTGATCATGCCCTTGCTCGACGAAGAGCTGCTTCCCGCACCCGGTGGACCCCAAGCGACGGAATTGATCGATGCTGCATGTCCTCTCAACTCCAAAATGGGCGATCCGGGCGCCCTGACATCGAGGATAGAGACGACGTTGGTGTCCGCTGCGAATGTGGCCAGGTAGTTTGCGTCCCAGGGATTAAAGGCGATGCGAAGCAGGGGAAACGGCATGATGCCGTTGCGACCTCCTGCTCCGCCGCCGCCACCGCCACCGCCACCGCTGCTAGAACTTGCGCTGCTGGATTGCGGCGCGCCAGTCTCGTAGATGATGGTGCTGTGCTCCAACGACCGGAGATCGAATACGCGCACGCTCCCATCCGCACCCACGCTCGCAAACACGTCCGATGAGCCTGGACACCAGTCCACGTCGTACACTTCTCGATCATGCGCAATGAGCTGCGTGAGAGCTGTGCGAGTGGGCAGATCCCAAATGGTGCACGTCGTGTCGATGGAGGAGGTGACGACGAGTGACGGCGAGGGAGCGTTCCAGCTGAACGACGTCAAGGGCGCGGGTGGTGAGGTGGAATTTTTGCTGGCCTGTTGGGGGAGGGCACACGCATCGAGTCGGAATTCAGCCCGCATGGCGATGAGGTCTCGGCTGGCTGGCTGGCTGGGCGCCCGCCCGCCCACGCTCGCTCGCTCGCTCGCTGCGCCACTCACATGTGCCAGCACGCTCTTTTCCACGAGCGAAAAGGGCAAGCGTGTATGCGCAGCGCCAACGAAACCACCGCCGCTGCTAGCAGCCGCCTCTTCATCCTGCTGCTGCTGCTGCTGCTGCTGCTGATCCGAAGCGCACTCCCATATCCTCAGACAATCTGCAGTGGTGGCTAGCAGCTCTCTGTCCTGCCAAGCTTCTGAAGCATCGCCGCTGGACAGCGTGGATGGTTGCCAAGCTATCTTGCTAGCGGGATAGGGATGCGGAGTGCTGGCCAGCGCATCGAAATACGGCCTGCGTGTGCGAGTGGGTGTGCGAGTGCGTGTGCGTGAATGTGAATGTGAGCTGTTGTACATCTTGCACGCGCCCGCCCACCCACGCGTCCGCGCACGCAGCTCACCCATCGCTGCCATTCCTCACTCCCAGCACCTGCACCTCGTTGTTCGCCTCTTCCACAAAGCTGCTGATGGCCACTCGAGCTCCTATTGCACCTGCACCTGCACCTGCGACCATGCCTGTCCGTGGAGCGTACAGCTCGCTGCGTGATCGGGCGGATGGAGCATTGGACCACGTCACACCGTAGATTGGCCCTGATAGTACGCGAGGGGGGGCATCAGTAGGGAAGTGGTCTGCGTGAGCAATGCGTGCGAGGGAGGTTGCACGCGCAGCAAGGGTACTCACATGGTGCAGTGTAGTCAAAGATGGACATTACTGCAGAGGGGGAGAGGGGGGGAGGTGGAGGTGTTGTCGGTGGCGGTGTTGGTGGTGCGCGAGCAAGGGGGCTGGGGGCGGGGAGATGGTGGTGGTTGCGTTGCGCGCACAATGTACGTTTGCACGAATGTGAATGTGAATGTGAATCACAATTGAATGTCTGCGCCGTGAGCCCGTGACTTGACTTGACTTGCTTTTTTGCGCCCGCGCCCGTATGCCATGCCATGCCTGCCTGCATGCGCACAAGCACAAGCACGCGCACGGACGCGGACGCGGACGCGGACAAACGTGGCGGTGCACGCCGCGCGCACCCAACAATCAACCGTCAACGCACACCTAAACACCGCGCTTATCTCTGCAAACGCGCGCCCCCAGCATGACCACCACCACCATCACCACCATCACCCGCACGTGACCAACCAACCAACCAACCAACCAACCAACCAACCCCCTCCCGGCCATGTCGAACGACGACGACGTCGAGACATATCTGCGCTCATTGCCTGCCATTCGCGAACGATGCGCCAGCGTGTTCAAATTGGCTGAACAAGGCAAGCTGGATTGGTTCGATTACCAGCCTGACAAGCTGCCCGACGTCGTGCGCTACTGCACATCCATCGTCAAGGTGCGTGTGCGTGTGCGTGTGCGCGCGGTTGTATGCGCTTTGCTCGCTCGCGCCCTCACACACCCGCTCACCCACCCCGCTTACCCATCCGCTCACCCCGCTCACCCACCCACCTGCTCCATGCTACCTTTCCTCTGCGCGCGCAACGCAGCGCGATTATCCGAACATCGACAGCATTCCACCGCACGGCAGGTGGAGGCACTTTGGAGAAGGGCGAATCGCTGCTATGCGATCGCAGTGGAATGCGCGTGCGCATGCGCATGCGCACGCCAATGCCAATGCCAATGCCAATGCCGATACCCATACAGATTCGCCGGCGCTGGAAGAAGCTCGCTCGTTGGTGGATCTGTTCATCGTGTCGGTGTTGCTGGATGCGGGTGCTGGTGCTGCTTGGGCATACAAGGAGCCTGATACGGGCGAGCGCGTTGGTAGAAGCGAAGGTTTGGCCATCGCATCCCTTCACCTCTTCAAGCGAGGCCTGTTTGGCGACGCATCATCCGTTCGAGGTGCGTAGGCTCGTGCGTGCGTGGCCCCGTTGCACTGCCGTGCTCGCGCGGAAACTCCCCGCCAAACTCTGCTCATACTCATCCCCCCCCTCACTCGCTTCTGCCACGCAGCGCAAGCTCTGCAGCGCATCACACCCGAACAGCTGGCACAAGGCATGCAAGTGAGCCCGTCTAATCCCATGGACGGATTGCAAGGCAGAGCAGGTCTGCTCAAGAACCTCGGAGATACGCTGGCTAGCGATCAGCACGGCATCTTTGCTGCAGGTGGTGGTGGTGGTGGTGGTGGAGGTGGAGGTGGAGCAGACGATGCTTCTCATCGCAGACCCGGCTACCTGATCGGTGCGTTGGGGAAAGGGGGGGAAGGGGCGTGTGGTGTGATGGAAGATGCAAGCTAGTCTTGGAAGTCGCTCACTCTGCTAACCCCCGCCGCCGTCGCAGACTACCTCGCTTCGCACCCCAGCACCACGCGAGATGAGCAGGGTCAGGTTCACATCCAACTCTCGACGCTCTGGCATGCCCTCATCGTCGGCTTGGCACCCGTATGGCCCACAGAAGGTCGTACGCACCTCAAAGGCAAGAGTCTGGGCGATGCGTGGTCCTGTCACGCCTTGGCCCGAGAGCTGAACATCGACCAGACCGACCCCGCTTGCGTCGTTCCATTTCACAAGCTGACACAAGTGAGTGGCTGACTGGCTCGCTCGCTCGCTCGCTCGCGCGCGCGCGCATATGCCCTTGCCCCTGTTGACAAGCGCTCGCTCGCGAGCGATAACCCCCCCAACAGTGGTTATGCTACAGCATCGTCGAGCCGCTGGAAAAAGTGCTGGGTTGGCAAGTGATGGGCAAAGAGGCTCAGACTGGTCTGCCAGAATACCGAAATGGTGAGAGGAGAAGGGTGTTGTTTCGGCGCCCATGCTCACTCGCTCCATCGCCCCGCCTCGCATCGCCTCGCAGGAGGTCTGCTGATCGACCTGGGCGTGCTCGTACCTCGCCCAGCACTCTACGATGCAGGCTCGTGCGAACCGGGAGGCGGCGGCGGAGGCATACCCACGCTCAAACCTTCGCATCAAGCAGTGATCGAATGGAGAAGCTTGACAGTCGTCCTGCTCGATCGCATCGCCGACGGTATACGCCATCAGCTGGGCTTGAGCAGCGAGCAGCTCAGACTGGCACAGGTGCTAGAGAGCGCTACGTGGAAAGGAGGAAGGGAAATCGCAAAGCAGAAACGAGACGGCGCTCCTCCCATCGTGAGTGGGGCGCGCGCGCGAGCGCAGAGGAGCGATCCTTTGCATTCTCGCAAAGCGCTAACACACGCAGCACCGTGCCTCGCAGACCATAGATAGCGACGGCACCATCTTTTGAATCGCGCACGCTCGCTCGCTCGCTCGCTTCTCTTTCATCGCATGTATTCGCCCCATCGCAACGGCTGCGCTCCCTTTTCCCCCTCGCCCCGCCTCACCCATCAAACTCGTCCATCTTTCCGCGAAGAGCCTGTGCATCTTCATCTTCGCTATCGATCTCGATCTGAGCGCCCTCTTGCGCAGCGCTCGTGCCCGTATTGACCGCTTCGGGCCTAAAAGCCCCCTTGGGCTGTCCACCCGCCGCTCTTCTCTGCTCGCCCACTTTCAAAATCGCGCTCTGCGGAATGTTTCCGCGCGGATTGAGATAGTCGAAATCCGGACCTTGAAAGACGTCCAGATAATTGAGCCACTTTGCGAATTCCGAAGTCTCTTCTTCCGTCTTGATGATGCGATCGTAGATGAACGTCTGCTTGAACGCTTGCATGCGCTCGGCAAAGTCCTTGTAAGTGACGGGCGATCGCTCCTCTGCCCCCGGCTGAACTTTGGCCACCTTGAGATTGTAGCCGCCAAAGAGCGGCTCTTCTAGTAGCAGGCCCAATCCTGGCGCTTTGGGCACGTGGATGCGCGCAGGTCCATACGTCTCTGGAATCAGCGATGCTGGTGCTCCCGTGCGTCCCACCAGCACCAGCAGGCCAATCATCTTGCGCTGCCGATCGAGAGAAGGCGGACAGGAATGAGCCGGCTTGCGTGGGTGCGCGCGTGCGTTTGCGCGCGCGCGCCACTCACAATCTGGTGAAGCATAAAGGACTGTCCGTGAAACTTGATCGACAGCCATTCCGTCCCATCGATCTCTTTGGGATCGGAAATCTGTGGGCAGCAGTCGCGTCAGCAGCACATGCGGGCACACGCGGGCACAAACAGCCCCCCCAACACAAGACCACGCACCTCGAGATGTTTCATGACGCGATGCGCGCTGCGATCTCTAAAAGACTTTCCCACAGTGTAATTGTGGAAATTGTGACTTCCCGCATACTTTTGAAAGGCTTCCCTTACGCGCTCCACATGCTCCCCATCCATCCTCCACTTTTTCTTGTGCACCACATCCTCCGCATAGCTCTTTTCCGTCCCTTGGCTCCTCCAAAAGGGATGCTGCAGCAGCTGGCCCAGCAGCGAGACGTCTTTACCATGTTCGACGCCCTTGTCGTGCCAGTGCTTGAGCAGATCGTGCATGCTGCTTCCTGGTTTGGGCGGCAAAAAGACGTACGTGGGCAAGAGGTACTCGTACATCCTCGAGTCGCAGGATGTCCTGGCGTTGAAACTGTTCTGCACGCGCGTGAGACCCCAGATGCGCACATACTCCGGCAACAGATCGTTCACCGCACCCACCACTCCGCCTTGCGGCAGGTTGGGAGCCTCTAAGATGAGCTTGAGTGTGAGGAGGTTACCAGCGGCATGCACGCCGCGATCTGTTCGAGCGGCTCGTTGAAGGCCGACCTGGGTTGTGCGCGGGCGCGGGCGCAGGAGCCCGTGTCAATTTTCGCCTCCACCGTGATCAGCGCTTTACTTTTCCCCGACGCGAGGACTCACCTTGACGGGATTGACAGCGTTCTCTTTGGAGACTGCTCCCACCTTGCAAAAGGCATCGAAAATGTCTCCCTCGATCGTCTTGACGCCCGGATTGCTGGTGGTGGAGTGTGAAGCGCGGAGCGTGAGACGCAATGCCGCGGGCAAGGTGGATCGCGCGATTTGCCCGCCCCTCCACCAACCCACTCACATCTGCAGACCAGAGTAACCGATACCGCAGTAGCCAAAGTAGATGGCCACTTTGCGTTTCTGAAGTGCAGTACGAGCACGTGAGTGATTGCGATCGCGATCGGCGCTCGCGCGCTGTTGCACCCTCGCTCCCTGGTCCAAAGCACCCCGCGCTCGCTCACCGGCAATCTTGCACCCCTTTCACCATCCTCACCCACTGCTCTGCTCTCGCCTCCACCTCTATCGAAGCTGACATTTTGCCCGACATTTCTATTGGGTCGCAAGTCCCTGCCTCGCCCATCATCGTCTCCGTCTGCGTCTGCAACGGGTCCATCAACGCTGTCACTCGTGCTGGCCTTGGCGTCGGTGTGGACGTTGGCACTGGATTCGCCGAGCTGCTGCTGCTGCTGCTGCGCATTCCCCATGTCCGTGTCCAGCTTGATACGTTTGGATGACTGCTGGCCGTCTTGCTCCGTACCGCCCTGCTGCACCGCATTCGCATTTGCATGCGCACTCGCAACCTCTTGGCCTCGTTTGAGCTGCTGCTGCTGCTGGACAGCTGGGACAGCAGCCGAGTGGGACATGGTTCTGCTGCTGCTGCTGGCGCCAAAGAGGAGCGATGAAGCGAAGCGGCGGGGGCGCACACAGACCAGCCTGCTGTATGCGCGCAAAGACGAGCCAGAGCAGAGGGAAAACGTGTTGAGTGGCGGTGCTGCGGGTGTGCTGGTGTGCGTGATGGTGAGTGTGTGAGTGTGTGGGTGGTGTGGGTGGTGTGAGTGGTGTGAGGTGGAGTCACAAAGTCAAAAAGTCGAGACGAGGTAGCGTGCGTGCGTGCGCTCTACCCCTCATCTCCAGCTGGATCGATCAACGCGCCCGCCCGCGCCCGCGCCCTTTCTTCCCATTTCCTGCGCGGGGCCGCGGCCGACCAAAATCAAAAAATCCTGATCAAAGTTGAATCAAAATCACAATTTTGAATCCGAAATGCGGTCGCAATGCAATGCGCGGCACGTGACTCGTCCGCAAGCATGGCCTGATGCCGACACAACCCTCGCAGTCAAAGCAGGTCACACAACAGCCTGATGCATGCAGATGCTTACTCTTCTGCTATATATACATGTACATGTATTGCGCGACTATATAAAACGTGCTGCTGTTGCTGCTATATAGCTCCGCCCGCGCACGGACACATAGACACAAGTCAAAGGACTCGACCGCGTGATCACGATCGACTGCCGCCGCCATACGCGCTGGCTGCTGATTGACGCATGAAGGCCGCGTGCATGCGGATCGAGATTGCCGCGGCGCATTCAATTCACACATATCGGCCATGCGATGCTGCTGATGCGCGCGCGCGAGCGCTTCTTCCTCGAATACTGCTCCGATGGGTGCTGCGTGCGTGCGTGCTGCGTGCGTGCGTGCGTGCGTATACATGCATGGTCAGCACAATCGCGGTCAAGGTGACGAGGTGACGAGTGCACGGTCTATCTCTCTCCCCCTCTTCCCCTCCCTCTCCCTCTCTCTCCCTCCATCACCCAGCATCCACTCCACCCCATTCCACACAACTCGCAGCAGCAAAGATGGGATCGCTACTCTCCACCGATCGCAGCAGCGCATCCAGCAGCGGGCCACGCGCCAACCTGTCGACCAGAGGTGCCAGAAATGCGGCCGAGTTTGCGGATTTTGCCAGAAAGATGAGTTTGGCGAGGAATGTGTACGATGAGCGGGACAACCCCACCGGCATCGTCATCTTGGGCGTGGCGGATAATGGTCTGCTACGAGGGCAGCTGCTAAAGGTGGGTGTGGGTGGGTGTGTGTGTGCGCGCGCATGTCGAGCGTGCGTTCAGCAGGGCAGCGCAGAGGGCAGGGCAACCTCATGGGGCTCACGTGCATTCCCTTCCACGCAGTTCTTCAACGCTCAAGGCAATCTGGACTTGAATGCGAGGGAGTTGACGGTGCGTACACGGCGATGCTCCTGTGATCACTCGTGCGCATGCTGAGCGCATGCTTCCACCACTCATCTGCGCTCGCTACACTGCTGCACGCACCCCCCACAGTACGCAGACCGCATCTTTGCATCTCAGAGGCTGCTGGGTGAGCTGCTTCGCTAAGCCGTGCCGTGCCGTGCCGTGCCGTGCCACGTGATCTGCTTGCTGGTCACCATGGGCGCTTCACCTTGCTCGCCCCACTCGACCCGCTCACCCCCGCTCACCCGCTTTACGCTACGCGCAGTGGCGCTGTGCAAGCTCTTCAACGAGGTGCCAGACGGTGTACCACCGCTCACCGGACAGCACCATCACACCCGCCTCATCACCGCGCTCGAACCAGAACACATCATCATCGGATCCGGCGCGACCGGCATCCTGGACAATGCCAGCTGGGCGCTGTGCGATGCGGGGGATGGCATCCTGCTCAGCGTGCCCGCTTACAATGCCTTTTGGAACGATTTCAATACGCGTTCCCAAGTCCAGATTGTAGAGGTGCCCGTCAGCCCGGCAGATGTTCCCCTCGACATTGCTCAGCATGTGCAGGCCTACGAAAAGGCTTATCTAGATGCTACCAAGAAGGGAATCGATGTTAGGGTCCTCTTGCTCTGCAATCCTCACGTGAGCTAGCGCGGGCGTTTGCGCTTTCGCAAGCTCGTGCTGATTTGCCC